CACCTAAATAAAAATCTATGGACCTAGTCGCTGTCCACCATGAATTTCCCAAATAACTCCAGACTTCCCTCAAGGCGTGTGACCATCCTACCACAGAACTCATATGTTACTCCACCACTCCCCACTTGGTTCAACCCTCTCCTTTAAGCAACTCCTCGACTTCTACTTTTCACACTTGACCTTCTAAAGATTCAACCACCACAAAACACTTCCACATGTCCTTCCTTGTATTTCGTCGCCCAATTGTTGCCCCAAATCCGAATCTATCTCTGTAACACCCGAAAAAATGAGCCACTACCAACTCTAAACCTCTTAGAAGATTATCTTTCTCGAGCCATCAATACTAGAAGTACCAATTCGATTCCAAAATCGCTACACTCTGTTATCTCTGACAACCGTATCTCAAGCACCATTTCACAATACCCTGCCCCGAAGGCAAATTGAAGAAGGCCATAACATTGGTGAACCTTAACGCGTTCAACAAGGACGATGACACCACATCACAATTGAGAACTCTACCACGCTCGAAAATTACCAAGCCTCGTTACTCCATCTACCCAAATTTGAACATTCCTAGTTCGATTGCCTTTCCTCCGCCGGAAATAGAATACTGAATCTCTGAATCATGCACTGTGTAAAACTTCCTTTCAGGTCATTCACTGCCTCGACGCCTAAACATGCATCCTACCATTATACAAACATTGTGCGATAGCAACGCACAAATCGTCATAACAATCATTGCCAAATCTCAAATCCTTAGGTAATACTAATGCTGAGCTGAAATGACAGGACGGCCTTCCGAAAGACGACGGTAATAGCCCAATCAAATACGCAGGTAGAAAGATCATGTACCATATCTGTAGTACCATGACAATTCCTTGATTCCCAATCCATAACAAGCGCTTTGCATCAAATAAGATTGAATAGGAAAGAAATAAAGGTACAAGCCACAAAAGGATCAGTTCGCACGATGAGGAATCAAGAAAGGAAGTGCTCCTAATAGCCTTGTAGCCTCTCAAAGATAAGTACAGACGTCTTTGTACCGATCCACAAGACTCTACTAGACTTGCTCATGACTCGTGAGACCTATGTGAACCTAGTGCTCTAATACCATATTGTCACGACCCAAAATTCATTAAGGTCGTGATGGCACCGGACACCGCTGTCAGGCAAACAAACAATTAAATAGTTAATTAAGTTCTCATATTTAATTTTTTTTTAAATCATAAATTTTCCTTCAATTTAATAGTAAAAAAAAGATGAACTTTACAGAATAATAATGATATTTTCCAATTTCAATATTGAATATCCCCTAATCATTCCAGAATTCGGTGTCACAAGTGTATGAGCTTTTACTAGGAAGTAAAATAAAATACAATAAATATCCGCAATACAAAATTTGGATAGAAAAGAAAATAAGAACTCTGGAGGAGACTCTGCTGGCTGCGGATCGTAACGTGGAATGCAGCTCAGGTAAGTCCCCGTATCAACCGCGCCACTGCGCCCACAAGGCCACCAAATATATATGCACCTGCACAACAAAATGTGCAGCAAGTGTAGTATGAGTACGAAAACAACGCGTACCCAATAAGTATCCAGTGTAACCTCGAAGAAGTAATGACAAGAGGTCGACTCCGGCACTTACTAGTGGTCAAACAGTAATGTACTAATAATATAATTAGTCATGGATTTTATTAAAAATGTATATGAACTCAAGAAAATCGTGAAGAAAATAAACAATCCTTTTGTTTATAGGAGATTTCCAAATTCATTTTCATCATTTATCAATTTATCTCAGGCGAGGGAGACAATATCATTATTTATAAATTTCAAGGCAAGCAATACAAGCATGAGTAAATCATGTCGAGGTCGCACGGACCGATTCAACATAATATTTAAATTGTGCACCGCCGGAGGGTCGAACGGCACGAACCATAGATGCATCTATTTAATCTGCTGAGACTTTCGGCCCGTTCCACAAAAGAAAACGCAACCAAACGATCAATCAAGAATTCATTAAGGAGCAATTATCCAAGGAAAATATCAAATCTTCTTCTATCGGTGAAGAAAACGAAGGTTAATCCTATTAGAAATTTATTGACCAAGCTCGATATGATTTAAGCAATTTAAGTTGACAATAAGGTTACAATTATCACAAGTATAGCATGCCTTTGGGTCCTAGACTACTCGGACTTAAGCATAATAGTTGCTACGCACGGACTCTCATCACCTCGTACGTATGTAGTCCCCCACTAATAGAAGCACATATGGATTTAGTTCACCTATGGGGTAAATTTCCTCTTACAAGGTTAGAAAGGAGACTTATCTCGTCTTAAAGCCCACTTTCCGGTCACAATTTCGCTCTAAATCCCAAACTTGGTGTCGTTCAATCCGAAACTAGTCAAACAACGTGCAAATTAATTAAAAGTATACTCCAATGCTTGAAATTTAACAATTTATAAAAATTCATAACTCCGCTCGAAAAGTTGGCAGTCGGGCCTACATCTTGGACACCGATGAAACTCACAAAATCCGACAACCCATTCCAATTCGAGTTCAACCATACCAATTTTATCAAATTCTGATAATAACGTGACCTCCAAATATTAGATTTTTGTTCTTGAAAAGTTTGGCAAAAATCTTGATTTCTTCAATTTAAATCCGAAATAAATGATGAATATAACCATAGAATGATGAAGTATAATTACTTTCAGATATAGAACACTTACCCCAATCCATATGGTAAAAAATCGCCTAAAAAATTGCTTCAATCCGAGCTCCATAGCTCCAAATATGTAAAAAATGGCCGAAACCTAGAAATATAGCTTCTGGCTAGGTATTTACTCTTCGCGATCGCGAAGCACAACATTTCTCAGCCCAAAATTTGCCCTTCGCGATCGCGAAGGACAAATGCCCAGCTCTTCTAGACAGCCTCTAGTATAATGTGCATAACCTTTTGTACAAAACTTCAAATTGCAAATGGTTTAACTTTTTGAAAACTAGACTCCATGGGCTACAACTTTCAGTTTTTCTCATCTCCTAGTTCCTTATAGATTACGAGATATAAGGTTCCAAATTCAGCCCTGTGCAACACAAACTTCTTCTTCGTGATTTTCAAACTCTTCCCATATAGGTTGTAGTGTACCACACATAACTTTTTGTAGACAACTCCAAATGCCAAATGGTTTGGTTTTCTAAAAACTAGACACAAAAGACTACAGCTTTCATTTTTGGATCATATCCAAATTCCTTATATATTGCAAGATACAATCTCTCACATTTTACTCATCGTGATCGCGACCAATTCCCCACGATCGCGTAGTACACTGCTGTAGCCAAAAACAGCAGCTAATAATGGCCTAGAAATGGTCCGAAACCACCCCGAAACTCACCTGAGCCCCTCGGGAACCCGTACGAACATACCAACAAGTTTAAAAACATATCACGGACTTAGTCGAGGCCTCAAATCACATCAAACAACACTAAAAACACGAATCTCACCCCAATTCGAGTCTAATAAAACTAAGAAATTCCCATATCTACATTCGATGCCGAAATCTATCAAATCACGTCCGATTGACAATAAATTTTGCACACAAGTAATATTCGACATTACGGACCTAATCCATCTTCTAGAATCTAATTCCGACCCCAATAGCAAAAGTTTACTCCCGGTCAAACTTCTCAAAACTTTCAAATTTATAACTTTCGCCAAATGACCCCTAAATGACCTACGGACCTCCAAATCCACTTCTGGACGCGCTCCCGATACAAAAATTACCATACGGAGCTATTCCCTGACTCGGAGTCCCAAGCGGACTTCAATAACATTGAAATACACCTCAACCCAAATTTATGAAATTCTTCCAAAATGCCAACTACCACAATAGGCGCCAAAACGCTCCCGAGCCATCCAAAACCCAATCCGGACATACGCCCAAGTCCGAAATCATCATACGAACCTTTTGGACCCTTCAAATCTCGGTACCGAGGTCGTTTACTCAAAAATCACACTTTAGTCAATTCTTCCAACTTAAGGCTTCCGAAATGAGAATTTTTTTTCTAAATCAACTTCGAACTTCCCGAAATTCAATTCCGACCACGCATGCAAGTCATAATACCTGAAGTGAAGCTACTCAGGGCCTCAAATCACTGAACGACGTGCTAGAGCTCAAAACGACCGGTCGGGTCGTTACACAACTACTCCTCCGACCACGTCCAAAGTCATTGTCGTACACATCAAAGCACGCTGATGTTGCCTGGTGGTATTAAATGCATTAAAGGGTCGTTTGGTTGGAGAACAAATTATTCCTAGATTATAATATGAAAAAATAGTAACAATATTATTTAGTGAATATATGTTATGTTGAGAGACTTTTAGTTTATTGGACTAAAAAATCAGATATATAACATATGTTTGGTGAATACTGGATAATTTGAGATACATTTTCGTTTTCAATTTAAAAATTGAATTTCTTAAAGGGGAAGAGCCTTGAAAAGGACATATTTATATTTGTAGTGTTTTACCTCGGGATAAATAATCCCAAGATAAATTAATATCACAATTGTGGTATATATTAATTGTGAGATTGTTAATCCCGAATTCAAAAATTCAACCAAATACAAGATAAAATAATTCTACATCTAATCCCAAAATTACTATCCCTTGGTCCACTAATCAGACAACCCCTTAGGGGCCGTTTGGTAGCTGGTTAGAAGAAAGGTTATTCATGTATAAGGTGTAACATAACTTATACCATATTTGGTAGACATTAGTTATGTCGTATAAAATTCTGCATAACTAATACCATGTTTGGTTGACAATTTTCAATTATGCATAAAGAATACATGTATAAGTTATGACTCAATATGTATATTATTTTATGCAGGGTAGAAGATAGAATAACTAATACATGTATTAATAATACATGGATAAAATATTGAAATGATAAATTTAACCCTATCACCTTACACATAAGGCTTCCTTAGATATATCGATCTGTATCAAACTGTTGGATAGCAAGAATGGAGATAGCGATGCCTCACTGCTAGGCTCTTCCTCTTCTCAATCTATTAAGAGACAAAATCAGTAAATTGACATATATTTCTCTGAACTAGCGCCTATGGTTCTCTCATTCAGGTAAGAAGTTTTTGAAACCCTAAACTTTTCTTTTCTTATTTCTTCTCCTTTTATTTTTTCCTCTTGCGAATCTGCTGAGAGATGAATTTCTGGAAGAAACTTTAATTTTTTCAATAATTTCTAGTAAAGTTGCAGTTTTGAGTACACCCAAATTTGATATGGGTTCTGTTTGTTTGTTAAAAGCAAAAAAAAAAAAAAAAAATCTTTCCAATAAAAAGGGGGTTCTTGTATAATCAGTTTCTTTAGCTTCAGAAATTGCAAGATGAGAGCAACCTTGACTTTGTGTTTGAAGTATTGTTATTTCTTTGAAGATTCAGAAACATCGAAGGCCTAAAACATGGTGATTAATTAAATAACAAAAAAATGATACTCTAATAAGACTACTTTTGGTTGATAAGACCCCAGAAACGTTTGTTTTTGTGTAGCAATTGTCAAATCTATATGTCTAGGAGAAGAAAATAAGAACTTGAAAAAAGTTTCTTTAATATGCAATGTATGTTTCACTATATATGCTCAGTTTAATAATGATTTTGCATCTTTTAATGCAAATAGGTGTTTATGGATCCTCAACAATTATGCGATGTCGAATGCTTTATCATCCTTGAGGAGATTGTGGTGCAATCTTATATTGTCCTTATTTGTCTTTTTATGGCTATTTACAGCATGTTCTTAAGAACACAAAGTAGAAATAAACGGGTTAGATATTGCATGAGTGCTAGAGTTCCTAAAATCCTATCTCATCTAAATATTATTATCCGTGACAATGATACTGTATGTATTGATAAGCTTAGGATGGATAGAAGTGCCTTTCACATATTAGCTACCTTAGCCAAGGACGTTGGAGGGTTGACGGATAGTACAAATATGTCCGGTAGTGAAAAGTTAGCAATGTTCTTAAATATTTTGGCTCATCACGAGAAGAACAGGTCTATCAAGGTTGATTATATTAGATCAGGGTGGAGTGTAAGTCAAGCCTTCAATGAATGTTTAAGAGCTATTCTCAAACTAACTCCATTGTTAATTGTTAAACCTAAGCCGGTGCTCGAAGATGAGACTGATGACCGATGGAGATGGTTTAAGGTTGGTAAATTTCAGTCTAGCATTTGATTAAGTATAGAAAGATTTAAATATTATTATTAAAGTATTTTATTGATAACTCTATTTTAGTATTTAGACTTCAATTTATTTTATAGGGTTGTTTAGGTGCATTGGATGGTACTTACATTCCCATTCAGTTCACTTTTTGAATATATTTTTGAAGAGCCAATACAAGTCGAAGAGTTGGCTTTGATGGGGGTGAAGTTGTACAGATATGCAACACACCTTTTTATTTGAAGCTCAAAGATGGTTGGCTCAAGATTCTGTACATATATGTTGGTGTTTGTCTGCAACTGTAAAACAAGTGTATAGGCATTGGTTCAAGTGCACGTCGAGACTGTGCTGATTGGAGGTAGCAGATTCCGGCGGAATAGTTGAGGCATGCGCAAGCTGGCCTTAACGCCACCATTATAAAACAAATGCGCATTGAGACTGGTTCCTGATTAGTCCATGTGCAAATATTGTTACTGTTAGAATTTGCTAGTATTATGGTATCAAGAATTTCAGCATTTTATTATCTATATAAAAAAGCAATCTTTCATTGCTTTGTACCTGCAAAATGCTACTCCTATTATGATGTGAAATAACATCAAGGTCTCTTGAGTAATTGTTTACTAAATCTTGTTCATTTGTTCTCAGCATTTGCTCACTGTTTACTAAAAGAATATGACAACGTTTTGGTCAAAGAGGGCTTTCGGTTACTTTCTTCTCTGAAAGAAAATCTTCTAGGCTCCTCTTTGTAACTCCTTGTTGCAGCATAGCTGATCATTTGAACATAGTTTCCACGGTAAAACTAAATATTTTCTTTGATTTAAGAAATTACAAAAGAACGATTTTTTTATTGAGGATAGGAGAAACAGATCAAAGTAATCTGGAGTATTAAGTTGTATTGGTAATCTGGAGTTTTATTGAGGATTTTTTTTTTGTTGAATATATCTTTTATTAATTTGCTTAAATAAATGGAAAGAGAGAAAAAACAATGCAAAAGAAGGCCAAGGGTATAGTTGTAAACAAGCATTTTACTTTAAATTTTATATAATGTATATCAATTTCTAATACAACAAACCAAACATTCAAAAAAATAATCTCTACATAACTAATTCATGCTTAACTAATACCTGTATAACTAATCCTGCATTACTAATACTTGCATAACTAATACCTGCATAACTAATACGTGTATAACTAATACCTGTATAACTCTAACCGGCAACCAAACGACCCCTTAAGTTATATACGGATGTATAAAAAAGTCATTTTTTCTTTATTTTATTAAAAAAATCACTTTATTATTGCTACTCCACACAATAAATTACCCCGGCCGAAAGCAACATTTAATGACATAAAAACATAAAAACCCAACAAGGTGCGACTTAATGAACCAAAAATTAAAAACCGTCCAACTAGTAAAGCCAATGGATCGGATTTTTACTTTCTGGGTCCATCAAGTCCACCTGGGTGATTTTATGTAAAATAGTACGGGTGTAACGATTCGGCCGGTCGTTTCATGAGTTATTGCCCCGTTTTTCCCATTTCTACTTCCTTATGTGTTGTTCAGTTGTATTTTATCGTATCGTGTTGGTTGGTTCGGGTTCGGAGTGGAATGAGACACTTAGTCTCTTATTTAGAAGCTTAAGTTGGAAAAGTCAACCGGATATTGACTTATGTGTAGAAGATCTAGGATGTGAATTATGATGGTTCGGATAGCTCCGTTAGGTGATTTTGGACTTAGGAGCGTGTTCGGAATGTAATTTGGAGGTCCGTGGTAGAATTAGGCTTGAATTGGCGAAATTGGAAATTTGGTGTTTTCGGTCGGCAGTGGAAATCTTGATATCGGGGTCGGAATAAAATTTCGGAAATTGGAGAAGATCATTTTTTACGTGTGAGCGAAATTTCAGGTCATTCCGACGAGGTTCGATGAGTTTCGGCATCGTTTGCGGAATTCGAAAGTTTGGAGGTTCCTAGGCTTGAATCTGAGGGTGATCAGGTGTTTTGATGTTGTTTTTGCTGTTCCGGAGGTTTGAATAAGTTTAAATGGTGATTTGAGACTTGTTGGTGTTTTTGCTTGAAGTCCTGAGGGCCTCGAGATAATTTCGGATGGTTATCGGGGAGTTTGAAAATCTGTTTAGGCAGCTGAAGCTGCTGATTATGTCATAACCGCACATGCGGAGTGGGGACCGCAGGTGCGAGGCTCGCAGAAGCAGCCAAGGCCAAGGAAAGCCAGGAGCCGCAGGTGCGGAAGGAGGAGCGTGCCTACGAGACCGCAGGTGCGGGTATGGGGCCGCAGATGCGGAAAAGGGCGGATAAGTGAAAATCGCAGATGCGGTTGGTTTGACCGCAGAAGGGTCCCGCAGATGCGAATGATGGGCTGCAGGTGCGAGATGCCTAGGCAGAAGGTATTTAAGGAAGCCCTTCGCGAATTTTTGGGTGTTCTTCACCATTTCTATCCAGATTTTGGAGATTTTTGGAGGTTTTGGAAGAGGGAATCAAGGGGAAACTCATTGAGGTAAGTTATTTGAACTTAATACTTGTGATTATGGTAAATTTCAGTGGTTTAAGCATGAAATTAGTGGAAAATTAGGGAAGAAATTGAGGGGATTAGGGCTTGAAATTGGAGAGTTTAATTCGAGGATTTGAGGGGCCATTTGACGTTGGATTTTGATGGTTTTGGTATGTATAGAATCGTGAGTGAATGGGCTTTCTAGTTTTGTAATTTTTATCGGATTCCGAGACTTGGGATCGGGGGTCGGGTTTGAGCCAAATTCGGGATTTTTGGTCTAATTTGATAATTTTTGTGTGGAATTCATTCCTTTAGCATATATTGATGATAATATACTAATTTTGGTTAGATCCGGAGCATTTGGAGGCCGAGTCGAGAGGCAAGGGCATTGTGGGTTAGCATTTTGTGCGGTTTGAGGTAAGTAATGATTGTAAATCTTGTCCTGAGGGTATGAAGCCCCGGATTACACATTGTTTCACTATTTTGAGGTGACACACATGCTAGATGACGAGCGTGTGGGTGTGCACCTTTGGGGATTGTTACTTGGACCGTCTCGTAGAAACTATTAAGTTTCGTATTTGATTGAAAACTATTTGATACTTATGTACTTTAGAAAGAACTTCTATGATTTGGGTTGAATGCCATATTTGGGCCTTGTGCCAAGTTGTTTGGACCCTTAGGGGCCTTTTACTATTATTTCCTCACTGTTTTGGCTTAAGATCTGCACTCAGTCATGCTATGTTTTTGTCACGATCCAATTTCCAATCTTGATCGCGATGGTGCCCAACACCGAGGTTAGGTAAGCCAACCTTAACCAACTAATAGGTTCCATTTATGTTACCAAAATATTTCCAACATTTACTTAGATTAAATTTAAAACATTCAATAATAACGAATAGTTTAGGCAATTTAAACTAAAGTGACCAAATGATGTCATAATTAAGTGATTACATTCCAAAAGGATATTCTACTAATGTGTGTGCCAAGACCTGGTGTCACAAGTATATGGGCATCTAGTAGAATATACAAAAGAATATAGCTATCCTACTGCCTGAAATAGAATAGACCGTCAAAAACAAAAGAGAGACTCTATCATGCTACTAAACGGCATCGGAAAGGAGCAGCTCACCATGGAATCTCGGCCAAATATCAAGAATGCGCACCAGACGGGTAGCCAGATGCACCTGCCTCAGATCCTGTACAATTAAGTATAGAAGCGTAGTATGAGTACATAAACAATATGTACCCAGTAAGTATCCAGTCTAACCTCGAAGAAGTAGTGACGAGAGGTCGACTTGACACTTACTAGGGTCAATAAAATGTAATAATATGAAGTTCAATATTCCAATTCACAATGTACATAGATATCAACAAGTTCAAATAAGAAATAATACCGAAAATCCTCTCATCAAATTAAGAAATCTAGGCATTTCCTTCATTTAAAACAGTGGTCTTTCAAGCGATAAATCATACAGATTATAAGAGGTTCAGGTTCCATTATCACACAATTACCACCGAGGACGTTCGGCCAGATCCAACATAAAAGTAAATTGTGCACTGCCGAGGGTCGAACGCCCCAAACCATATATATACAATTACCAACCTGCCGAGGCAAACGACCCGCTCCCATGAGAGTAGTGGAAATAATCACCCCGCTAGCGGAATATACTTGCGACGCGACTAAGTATAAATACAACTTAAATGTTTCCGTAATTCTTTTCAAAATAATTATTTACTTGAAATCCTTGAAATCATGACATTCTCAACGAAGTTTCATCAATGCAATTCAATAATTAATAATTATATAACAATACCCACAAAGCATGGTATAAGCCTAGAACTACCCGGACATTACAGGATTAGTAGCTACGTATGGACTCTCGTCACTTCGTGCGTACGTAGCCCCCCACAATCAAAAACATATTAATTAAGTTCACCTATGGGGAGATTTCCCTCTTACAAGGTTAGAAAAGAGACTTACCTCGCTTCACGGTCTACTTTCTGGTCCAAGCTTAAGCCCAAACCCTCAATTTGGTGCCGAACACTCCAAAACTATTCAAATATCATAGAAACTAATCAATATAGGCATAAAAGTTCATATCCCAACCATTAGAGTGATTCCCCAATCCAAATTACACGATTCCTAAAATTCATCCCCGGGCCCACGTGCCCGGATTCCGGAAATTTTTGAAGATCCTAATTAGTATATATAATTTATCATCAAATATATCTGTTTGAAAATTGATTCATCGACTTATAACTTACTCAGATGCATCGTTGAATATTAAAAACAAAATGTCTCACCTATATCTATATCTATATAGATAAGGGTCGGGTTCTTTTAGGGATTGATAGACTTGTGAAGATCCTAATTAGTATATATAATTGTAACAACCCGACCGGTCGTTTTGAGCTTTTGCACATTGCTCGCCATTCTCGAGCATGACTTGCCCCACGTGGTGTATCATGACTTATGTAAATCGTTGGTTTTGGTTTTCAGGGTAATCGGAATGAATTTGGAAGAACAGTTCCCAGTTTGAAGCTTGAAATTTAAAAGGTTTGACCAATATTTGACTTGCTTGTATATGATCTCGGATTGGAATTTTTATGATTTGGTTAGCTCCGCTAGGTGATTTGGGACTTAGGAGCGTGATCGGAATGCATTTTGGAAGTCCGTGGAAGGTTTAGGCTTGAATTGGCGAAATTGAGATTTCAGCGTTTTCCGGTTGCTAGGTGAAATATTGATATAGAGGTCGGAATGGAATTCCGGACGTTGCAGTAGTTTCGTTGTGGCATTTGGGATGTGTGTGCAAAATTTCAGGTTATTCGGACGCGGTTTGGTTGGTTTTTTTATCAAAAGCGGAATTTGGAAGTTTTTAGAAACTTAGGCTTGAATCCGAGGTGTTTTGGTTGATTTAGTGTTGTTCGAAGTATTTTGATGATTGGAACAAGTTTGAATAAGGTTTTTGGATATGTTGGTGCCTTTGGTTGAGGTCTCGGGGGCCTCGGGTGAGTTTCGGGTGGTCAATCGGACCATTTTGAAGTTGGAAGCTGCTGAAGTTTTTGTTGTTGCTGGTGTTTTCACACCTGCGGTTTGGGGACCG